TGTGGAGGACGTCACTTCACTGTCCCATGTTGGTATTATCATTGCGCTCTTCCCGGGTCAGGCAGATCGGTCACCGGCCATTGGACGGCCACTCATGGCAGCTCAAGCCTCTCACAGTAGCTTTATGGCAGCCCACTGCCGCCCCACTGCAGCTACGCTGTTGCCAGCGACTCACGGCAGCCCAGCTCCAGGCCGAACTGTTGTTCACCATCTTAGCTATAGAGAGCGCAGCATCACTGGCCCTCATGTGGGATCCGAACTGGAGCCCTGCTGCTCAGAGCTGGCGTCTCAAGCCAACTCTTAACCAATGCGCCACTTGGCCGGCCCATCAGAAAATTTTAATACTTCCCTGTATAAGCACAAGTAAAGTTGAGAAGCCTGAGTGAAAATTAGGTTGAATTATGTTTACTGTAGTAAGTCATTTTTTTTTCACTTCCTTTTTCTCACCTGGTTTGAAATAAATTCAAACTAAATTAACATTCTCTTTCCTTTAATTGCATACTGCCAGTAGAAAAAAAAATGAAAGAAGTACCTTGACATTCTTAGTTTTTTACTTGAAGGGCATATATTTTCAACTGGAATTACCTCTCTGGTTTCCTATCATCTTGACTTCGTCAGTCTTCCCTGAAGGCTTGAGCCTAGCCTCAGAGGCTAGGAGCAACTGTAACTCTTGGGGGAGGTGTGGGGTGAAGAGTGAGAGTGAAATTTAAATTATAGTTAGGTCTGTACTTAAGTGGTTCAGCATCAAGTCAAATCTTACATTAACTTTTTCCCCAATTCTGGTAACTGGCCTTCAACCTTCATTGTACCACAATTCTGGTAACCAAATTATTTTCCTCATACCTAATTGTTCATTCTAACAAGTCTTTCTTCCAGTCATTAAAAACTGGTTCCTGTAACCCAGCCTCATTATCAGTTATTGAACTGACCTTCCTGAAGCAAGTTCAGACCTGTTTGGATGTCTAATGCTGTTTGCATCTAGATTTCTCACTGCCTGCTCCTCCCCTCATATGGCTGTTTTACACCAGTGATACGAGCCACTTGCCTTGATGGCCAGCTGCTTTTTGACCCATGCATCTCTCTGTATACCAAGTTCTGCCTGGCTGAACAGCCTCCTATCATTCCCAGTTAATTTTACCCTGGCTCTCCACCTGTCCTATCACAGTCAGATGTGACAGAATTAAAATTTATAAATACAAGGCAGCCTTATTTTGACACATGAAAATCATGAGATTAGGAATAAAAGATTTTGAAATGAGCCATCATTATACTATGAGCTCTACATATAGATTTAGGAAGTCTTAATGGAATGATACAATTGTGCTGCTAGTATGGCCAGCTACCAGAGACTTGCATGAATTTCCCACACATGTATTAGTAAATCTGTTGAATTGAATGCAAGCAAATGAAAAGAGGTCTGTGAGGATACTTATAATTAATATAGGTACATGGGAAAGGAGGAGTTTTAAAAGTTTCGGAATAGTGTTACTTATAAAAGTCAGAATAGCTCTTTATTCACAGTAAACCGAATAATGAAGATCATTGGACACTGAAGCAGGTTTTATATTTTAGCACAGGTTGGCAAACTTCTAAAGAAGGCAAGATAGTAAATATGTAAGGCTGTTTCTTCTACCCAACTCTGCCACTGTGTCTTGAAACAATAAGTAAATAAATGGGTGTGGCTATCCAATAAAACAGGACACTGAAATAAAAATTTATAAAAATTTTCATGTCACAAAATATTATTCTTTTGATGGATTTTCAACCACTTTAAAATGTGAAAACCATTCTAAGCTCAAGGGCCATATAAAAACTGGATGGTTGTAATTTGCCAACCTGGGTTATACTTTAAGGCATATCGCCCCAGGCTTGCAGCAGACTAGAAATGTGCATGTACGGTGTGTGTGTGCGTGGGGGGGAGGTTAGGGGTGAGGAATCAAATATGGTTTTGAATATTCAAGAATACACTCATTCTTGCAAAAAAAATGCCCTTTACTTTTTTTAAATATGCAGAATTTTGCTTGACAGTTTAGCAGTTTCAGTCCTCCATTAGGGATACAGAGAATTTTTTTTAACAGTTTTGGTTTTTATTAAATAACCAAAATGGAAATTGGGAGTAGTCAATGCGTTATCTCTAAGCATAAACAAAACAAAAGCTTGCAAAAGACAAGGAACT